CAGAGATGACTTTACTGAGATAATTCAGAATATCTCAACAGTAAAAAAGAGACATCTGATGAAAGATGTATGAAAGAAAATACAGAAAAAGATTAAATTTTCAGAGACACTTTCAGTAAAAGACAGATCAGTAATGTAGAGATTTTCAATATAATCTATTTATATTTCAATATATTTAGTTTTCTATGAGTTTTATATATAAATTAGTTAATATATACTTTAATACATATAATTAGAATATATCTGTCTTGATATTCACTGAAGAAAGTTATTATATTCTCTATTCTGTAATTTGTATAGTTATGACTGCAGAGAATTCATCAATTTCACTACATCAGAAAATCTTGAATTCTGTAGATATATTTCTGACAGTGTATTAAATACTTGTTTCTAGTTAATAGAAATGATTTTATATTTAAAATAGCTGTAATTCAATCAGTGATAGCCTGTATAAAAAGTATTAAAATATGAATGAAATTCATCAGATATGCTGATTACACTTAGAAATAAAATATGAAAGTATTTACATTCATTGTATAATAATCTGCAAAGATGAATTAATAATATATATAAAGACATATATTTTTCTTTTCCTTCTTTTCTTCTTTCTTCTTCTTGTAATAATAATACACTGTAAAGATTATTCTCAGCTCACTCAGCTCATTCTGTTCTTCTTTATTTCTCAGTTCAGTTAGTATTCTGTCAGTTATAATAGAAAGCTTTTAATTAGAAAAGTTCTAATCAAGATATCTTATCTGTGTAGTATATTAAGAACATCAGTAATTCATTGCATCAGTATTAATCACAGTAATAATAATAATGGCAGTAGTATCAATCACAGTAATAATAACAGTAGTAGTATCAATCATAGTAATAATAATAACAGCAGCAGTATTAAAATAATAAGTAACACTCTTAAGTATACTTATATCACTGTTATAAAGACTCAAGAGAAGAAAGCAAGCAGCTGTCTGAATACTCTGATAAAGCAGTCTGATAAATGAATAATATATAAGCACTGTATTAAGTATATTTTTCTTCATCATTTGAATGCTGCTTATGATAAGATGAAGAGAAGTTTAAAGTCTTATATAAATTACAATCATGAGAAAAAGAGATGCATAATTATCTCTGAAGAATTAAAAGAATAAGTTAATAATCTGATTCAAATTCATGACTTTTATCTTTCTATGTTAGATAATTTTAAGAAAATAATAAAGAGAACTATATTGAAATCAGTGAAGAATCTTTCAAAATAGATCAAGAAAGTCAAAACTCACTGATAGAAAGTAAAAGCTCAATATATAAAAAGTGTTACTATTACTCTGAAAGCTCTGAATATTATTATCAGTACTGCTGAAAAAGTTAAAATTAAGATTAAGAAGATTAAGTTGAATATTGAAAGAGTGAAATTAGAAATTAAAAAGAAAAAAGTTACTGTAGAAAAGAAGAAAATCATGATTAAAAAGACAAAACTTAACATTGAAACTATTAAGCTTAAAGTGTATTACAAGCTTTTGAGAATGATAGTCAGTTATATTAAAGAATAAAAATCAGTGATGAAGAATCTTATAAATTTGATAAATAATATTAATATCAAAGCTAGCTATATTATCATTGAAATGTGTGAAACAATGAAGCATATTCAGAGATTTACAGATTATCTTGATAAGAATTCAGTTACAGTCAGCAATAATAGTAGTAGCAATGAGAAATTTAATAACAGTGATAATTCTCTTCTTATCTCTCTTACTGACATCTCTGCTACTGCTGTTAATTCTTCTCTCTCTTTCTTCTTCAATCTTCTGACTTCAGTTGATTCTCTGACTATAAGCAGCACTGAAACTCTCAACATTCTCAGTGAAAAAGTAAGTTAGAATCAGTGAAATGATTCTCAGATTTATACAGAAGTTGATAATAATATAAATGAATAAATATATAGCTTTTAATCTCTCTGAAACTCTCTCTTCTAAACAGTGAATAGTCATTGACACTGATTCTTCACAAACTTTAATACTAATTCACAAGTTCTCTGAAATAAATGTTGATGTGAATATGACAGAAAATGATGATAATGATATAGAGATGATTCAGAGAATTCAGAAGAAATTACAGAAGAATGTGACAGATTTTCAATAGAGAATGATTTCAGTGAATGAGACATTTTTTAGAATTAGTGATTATATAGATAGGAATCAGTGACATTATTAATACAATGATGATTTTGTTCTGTTCATAACTTATTTACAGTGATTTCATGGCTAATCCATCATTATATTATATTTTATTCCGGTATGGTAGCTTTTTAGTGTCAAAATGATCCATCCCGAGGCGCGGAGGGTTATCGGAGCCACAATAATCCGCCGCCGGAAGGTACCTGAGTCAGCGCCAAGATTAGACTCGGCAACGGCAACACCTTCTTGCAACATTCTCTCTCTCGTTGCTCCCAGCACACCAGCAACACCTAGGCATCTTGTTACCTCCGTTCTCCAAACTACGAAGCCGTTCCAGACTGTGCGTTGTTTCGTCCAGCTCTGGGCCCCTTGTCCACCTCCTTACCCCCTTGTCTGTCCGGCTCTTGTTCCAGATAGGACCGACGCCTCCCATCTGTTGGCACCGGACGGATCGCCTTTCGGTAAAGTCACTCCATATATTTCTGCTCTAGTAGCCGCCTCACACTAACCACCCCCCCCCCATCTCCAGTGTGAGGGCTGGCCACCATACCCTATATTATCTACTCTCCCAAACTTCCAGGCCTAAAAGGTTAAATGGCTATGTAATTTTTGGTTCATTCTTTGCTATTATGAGCTATGTTCACTGATGGAATCCAATATGGACATAGTCTCGTGACCTGCAAGGGCGGGTTAGAGGCACCATGCCCGCTGTTCATGGGGACCCAGCTGGGCCCCTGATATTCCGCACTTCGGGAGAGCTACCCTATCCTGACCCGGCTAATCCTCAGCTGCCATCCAATATATATCCCCGCCAGGTGACCCTTCGCGACCGTGTCACCGTTGCGACCCTTGTACCCTTCTGTTCCTCCACAGATGTGCCCGTATCGCTCCTGCGCTACCTATGCGACCAGCTCAATAAGGAGATCGATATGGGAGACACTTATCCCATGATTGATCCCATCTCCCTTGAATCCTTTGGTCCCTATTGGTTTTCGAACTTCGGTGCTGTGATGCTGCTGGGTGACATCAATAGTATCCATGAAGTCCAGGAAATGGGGAGGATGGGGGCGGATTGGAGGAAGGTCTGCCTGGGGAGCTTTAATATTAAGCCTAACTATCCAGGGCGTAGCAGTCATGTTTGCAATGGGAGCTTCCTCGTCACTGATGCATCGCGTAATCGCGGAGTAGGGAGGCTAATGGGGGAATGTTATCTAGAATGGGCGCCTCATCTGGTCAGTTAAATCACCTAATGCCTCTTATATATAAAATTCTCAACTGGCGCTAACTTTACCCAAAATGAAGGGTTATACTTACTCTGTATTTAATCTTGTTTATGAGACCAATGTGGCATCCTGTCGAATTTGGGACGCTTTGGGCTTTAAACGCATTGGCAAAGTACCTGGATGCGGAAACCTTCGATCACATCCAAATCAACCCGTTGACGCGATTATATATGGACGAGATTTAGGCCCAGAAGGCGAGGATTTCGTGTCGGAAGAGCGATTCGATAAGATTCGATATTACCTAAAGCATTCAAAATATCCAAGTGGTGCCGACCGGGCGGAGAAGAGTCGCTTGAGGAGCGCTGCAACCCACTATAAACTCGTCAGTGGGCAGGACGGAGAACCCGAGAAATTGATGCTAAAAGACAAAGAGGTGGTATCGGATCCTCAGCAACAATATGAGATAGCGCGCCAAATCCATCTCCAGCAACATGGGGGAATCAACAAAACCACGGCCACCATTGCGTTGAAGTATCACTGGGTCCGTATCAAGGAAACAGTTAGTATGGTGATCAAGAACTGCCCACAATGCAAAGAAACCCCAAAAGTGTCCACTGTCAACTCCAACCCAAGTTCCAACTCCAATTCCAATTCCAATTCCAACTCCAACTCCAACTCCAACTCCAACTCCAACTCCAATTCCAATTCCAATTCCAATTCCAATCCCAATCCCAATCCCAATCCCAATCCCAATCCCAATTCCAATTCCAATTCTAGCTTAAACTCGATCTCCGACTCGATCCCCGACTCGATCCCCGACTCAATCCCCAACTCGATCCCCGACTCGATCCCCGACACGATCCCGAGCTCCATTCCCAACCCCATTCCCAACTCCACTTCTAACTCCATCCCCGACTCGATCTCCCAATCTACCTCCAACTCCAACTCAGAAATATCCCTGCCTAGAAGAGCAAAATCGGCAAGTTCACGCGAGCAAACAACATACAACATACCCACAAATGGCTTCGATACCCCCCCCGACCAGCTCCTGGCAACCCAAGAAGAATACGAGAAAGTCAATCCTTTCGGCACCGCACACCCGCAAATGATGCATGCACCGGTCGACGACCCCATGACGGCAGCCTACGGCGATATTCCCCTCGACCCACAAATAATGGACGACATCCAACAGCATCTCCCACCATTCCCAGAGCACGATCACCACCACAACCCTCACCATCATCACGTCAACCCGTATGGTGCTAGCAGCCTGCACAACCCGCACAGCTTAGAGCACGAATTCGACCATTCCGCTGCCGCGGTCGTTATTCAACACCAAGGCCATCCCAACGACTACCAAGTCCCTGGAAATATAAATTCCCAGGCCGCTGAGGCGTTGCGTCAGCAGACGATGCGGTTAGTGAATACCGGGCGGATGAGCGAATCAGACCTGCATCAAGGAATTGCCCAACGCGGCTTTTGGGAATCCGGATAAGGGCCCGTTTAGCACTTGATTTTGGGATTTCTCGGTTATGGTTATTATTATTATTATTATTATTATTATTATTATTATTGTTATTATTGTTATTATATATCTATATTTTTTTTTTTTTTGGGGGGGGGGGGGGTGGGGGCAGTTGTTATTCCTGTTACTCTTGGTTATAGTGGCAACCATGTGGTTGTCTGCATCTGTTCCGATTTGCTTCGAGCGTTATTTTGGCTACCTTGCCACAGGCGGTTTGGTTTTGTTACCACCCCTAGGTGTTGAAGTGATTTTTGGGTGTGGCTTGTGATCATTATTATTTCATCTCTGTTGTCAGTAATTTATTAGGTGTCCATATTTTTACTAGTGTTGATCCAATATGTAGATAGACCCGTAGTGGGCGGAACACATGGATTTATGACAGAATTGGATGGTGTGTAAAATAAATCACTTGTCTCTTTTAGGTGAAATCGAGGTGTTGCCCCTCAGCGCGTGATTGGCTGGATTGGGGCCAGGAAAGCTCTTCCACGCAAATTTTGGAACAACCTTATGAGAACATGGTTGGACTGAGAGAACGACGGTCAAAGACACTCAACCTCACCACCTCCGTCTATCCTCGCTACGATACCCCATCAGTCCTTTGCTGCGGAAGAGGGAAATATACGACGGGAATACCTTCTGTCTTGTTAATTAACTCTGTTCACCCGGTTGTTTCTCCGTGCGTTAGACCCCTCCCACAATCATGGCCTTCGCCGGCCAGACTCCTACGATCATTGTCCTGAAAGAAGGTTAGTTCGTCTCCGCTACGTTACACTACTCTATCTATCTATCTATATTTATTACATGCTATTCGCTTCCCGTAATAATTTCGGGATATACGCTGATGTTCAATGTGTGGTTTGTGTTGTTTTGGTGTAAACTACAGGCACGGATACATCCCAAGGAAAGGGTCAAATAATATCCAACATCAACGCGTGTCTGGCAATCCAGTCGACGGTTAAGGGAACCCTCGGTCCTTATGGTGGAGATCTATTAATGGTCGATGCCAACGGGCAGCAGACCATTACCAATGATGGAGCGACGGTTATGAAGGTTAGTTTAGACGTTGCGTTTGTTGCTTTTTTATTTTATTTCATTAACTACTACGCGGAATCCGTCTTTTCTATTATCATATGGGCCCATGGCAAGACCCCTGCGTACATGCCCAATTACGGAGAGGCAAGAAAACTAACAAAAAAAATAAAAATCAAATCAAATCACAGCTCCTCGACATCGTCCATCCAGCCGCCCGCATCCTCACAGACATTGCCAGATCCCAGGACGCGGAAGTTGGCGATGGCACGACCTCCGTTGTTGTGTTAGCCGGAGAGATACTGAAGGAGGTCCGCGACGCTGTTGAGCAAGGAGTCAGCTCACAGATCATCATCAAAGGCCTACGGAGGGCGAGTGCACTGGCTGTTAACCACATCAAGGAGATTGCTGTCGATCTGCGTAGCACGCATGGAAACCTTGAAACGAAGGTAGAAACGCTGCGACGGTTGGCGGGGACGGCGATGAATAGCAAGTTAATTAAGAGGAATTCGGAATTTTTTACGAAGAGTTAGTTTCTCTTTTCAACTTGGGCTGGCCTGCTTACCGGGCTTTTTGGGTGTGGGATCAAGTTTTTGGTTTATAGGACATGTGCTGACGATTTGTTTCACAGTGGTGGTCGATGCGGTCTTATCTCTGGACCAGGACGATTTGAACGAGAAACTTATTGGTGTCAAGAAGGTTACCGGCGGGGCCCTTCAGGAATCCCTATTCATCAACGGCGTTGCCTTCAAGAAAACATTCTCATATGCTGGCTTCGAACAACAACCGAAATTCTTTACGAACCCTAAGATCGTGTGCTTGAATGTTGAGCTAGAGCTGAAGAGCGAGAAGGACAATGCAGAGGTGCGCGTGGAGCAGGTATCGGAGTATCAAGCCATCGTCGATGCGGAATGGCAAATCATCTTCAATAAAATGGAGGCCGTCTACAAGACCGGTGCGAAGGTCGTGTTGAGCAAGCTGCCCATCGGTGACCTAGCAACACAGTATGATTATATCTCATTTTTAAGAAAATACCTCAAGGATTATATACTGACAGACCCCAGATACTTTGCCGACCGCGACATCTTTTGCGCCGGCCGCGTCGCCGCTGACGACATGGAGCGCGTCTGCCAGGCCACCGGCGCCTCCACCCAATCCACATGCACAGACATCCAAGACCGCCACCTAGGAACCTGCGGCTCTTTCGAAGAGCGCCAAATCGGCAGCGAGCGCTTCAACATCTTCTCCGACTGCCCCGCCGCCAAAACCTGCACCCTGGTTCTCCGCGGCGGCGCCGAACAGTTCATCGCAGAAGCCGAACGCAGTCTCCACGACGCCATCATGATCGTCAAGCGCGCGCTTAGAAACACGAGCATCGTCGCCGGCGGTGGTGCGACAGAGATGGATCTCTCCGGCTACCTGCACAGCTTCGCGGATCGGAACGTGCCCCATAAGCAGCAGGCGGTCGTCAAGGCCTTTGCGAAGGCGCTGGAGGTCATCCCCCGCCAGCTGTGTGATAATGCGGGCTTTGATGCGACGGATATTCTTAACCGGCTGCGTGTGGAGCATCGGAAGGGGAATGTGTGGGCTGGTGTTGACTTTGATAACGAAGGGGTTAGGGATAATATGGAAGCGTTTGTGTGGGAGCCTAGTCTTGTCAAGGTTAATGCTATCCAAGCGGCTGTTGAGGCGGCATGTTTGATATTGAGTGTGGATGAGACTATCAGTACGTTTTCTATTCCCCCCTTCCCCTTCTACTCCCCCTTCTACCTCCCCCTTCTACTCCCCCTTCTACCTCCCCCTTCTCCCTTCCTTGATGTTCAATTCTCCTTCCCCGGTTTCGCGGAGTTATTATATTTCGACATACAGTTCTACACTCCGCCCATTTTCCCGTTTCCTACTTGTAAAAATTCTTCGACGAAAGCTGACCCATAACCTTCTCAAACAGAAAACGAAGAGTCCAAGGCGCCACAAGCGCCCCAACGGGGTCTACCACAAGATGCTACGCAGAGAGTTCTGCGCGGGAGAGGAAGGGGAATGCCCAGAAGATAGATAAAATGGAGTGGCTGTTATTGTTTGAGTCAATGTACTCCGTACTCCGTATGCCGCTTCTAATTAGCGTACTCTAAATTTAAGTCGACCGGCAGTACCATTGTTACTCAAGCATAGAAGGAAAAAAAATATTGCATTTTTGTCTTCTATCCAGGCTATTTTTGTTCATTCAATTGTAATGTTTTCTTACCTCTTTAAATATGTAAATTGTAGGAAAGTGAACTAACTCCTGTTGCTGGTTCCTATGACGATCATGAAGAGGGAGTGGGTGTATGCAGGCGTCGTGGATCGATTTATAGAAAAGGAAACCAAAGTCAGGAACGTGATGAATTTGATTTTTTTTACAATAATACATTCAGTGTCCATCACGGCCTGCAGTCGGTTTCTTATTTCTGGATATATAACTTACCCCCGAGCATCACCAAAAAAGAATGTTGAGAGCGGCCTCCGCCTCTTGAAATACCAACAAATTCACTAGCCAACCAGGCTGCTAAAACAGCTTGCGACGCCCGAGATCTTCAGACGGCAAAAAATAAAAAAGCAAACAAAAGAAATGAGGATTTGAACCGTTTTGATTCTTAAACGAGACGCAAAAACAAAACATAGAATAATAAATGCATAGTTATGTTTCCACCGCCACACCCTCACTCAACTCAACCTCCTTTAAACTATAGGACCAGAGGCAAAACGCCAAGCGCGGGATCGCGTACCTCCGATCCATCGTCCTTTCGTTTTTTTCTGTCCTTCAAGCCGTAGCTGTGGCTGCTCGCATTTGTCCAGAAAAGCTAGATTTTTTCTTTTTTTCTTTTTTTTTTTTTTTGTTTGGCTTGACGTGGAAACATATGAAAGAATATGGGTTTTCTGGTTTGGCAGGCTCGTGAGTTTTATTTTTCCAACATGATAATTATCAATTTTTCTTTTGGTAGACTGAGACAGGCATTATTGCACCGAGTGTCTAAGAGCTGTTTTTTTGGAGGATATCCGATGGGGATGAAAAGGTCTTCTACAAGCTGCTCCGTAAGTTGTACATGTATGTACAATGACAGGCGAACAGGCGAACAGGCGAACAGGCGAACAGGCGAACATGCGAACATGCGAGGAATAAGATGTAGCCGGGCGCTATTAGCTAGGTAATAGCTCACTGATATTTGACGAACATTGACACGGGCCGCAAGGGTTCAAGCGTTTTCCACTCTACCCGATTTCTCAATAGTTAGCGACCCGGGTTGAGGTACGGTGAAAAGGAGGATGGTATGATCCAAGGCTTCATACAAACTGTGGGCGTTCAACGGGTTTTCCTCAGGGCAAATTGTGCAGCCGACCACGGGGATTCTGTGCCCAAATGAACAATTGAAGCAGGGCTCTATTGTAATTTTTTTCAAAAAACTAAGTGCTTCGAAGCGACTTGGAAGTTCGTCAATGAACCCCCACCCCTGTCTTCAGGGGTTGAGCATGCGACGAGCGGGAAAGGCGATCTTATTTGTTTGCTCTGCTCTGGTCCTTACATGGCAGAAAATATCACCGGCAGGGAGATATTGTGAACATATTCCTTAAGCCAATAATAACCTAGTTGTGTTCCTTCAATTGGGTCCATTGAGAGCTTGTTTTCTATGTTTCTATAAGTAAGGAAATAGTACCAGATGGACAGTACTCTGTAGATGAGGCGAATATTCATGAGAATAGGACCCCCGAAATGGATGAAAATTTTGCAGAGGAGCTTCGATCAACTTGCCTGACACCGCCAACGAGCTGGTGAGTATTATTAGTGGCGGAGGTGCCGGGGGCTAGCGTCTTTAGTCTGTTCGTAGCCCACCGGGCAAAAAGGAAAAGTACTGATTGGATTTGATTGACTCAATATCGGAAGCCAACCAATTTCGGATTCTGGATGCATGCCCCCGGTTGAACCAACGTGGCATCGTAGTACACAAATGTTATTTGCAGACAATTGTGTCGGCATTCGACTCTGTTGAGGACTCTTGAGGAGGTTTTGTCGACTCGGAAAACAGAGTTGTATGCGAAAGGAAAAATCTACGACGGATTATCAGAATTTTCCTCGACAGAAACCCCTTTCCACATCCCTGTTCGTAAAACTTCGTAAACAGACGATCATGAACGAGTTCCCCGGCCAAACCATGTCGGTTTAGGTATTTTGAAACAACCGAGAAGAGTCCGCTTGATTGGATCTCGAGAACTCGGGCACGAGGAGACTAAGAGCCTCAAGTTACGGCTGGAAACCGGGATCCTTGTCAAATGGGCCGGACAGTGCTTGTTGGGTCTTGATGGGCAATCGGATGCCGTGCGAATGGGACACTCGGACTGCGCTGTGTAGAGAAATAATTCAACGGTTCATCCTTTCAGGCGGAGCATATGGGATGGAGTAGAAAAACTTGCCGATGTTACCGCTATGGAAATAGCTAGTTAGAGATACATGAAAAAAAAAGCTTCTCTGTTTTTGCTTTTTGCTTGCTTTCGCATATTCCATGTCACATTGTCGCGATCTCCAGGCGTGTTGAGGCTGTTCTGCTCTCTGATTGTCCGGGTCGATTGGCGGTGCAGTATCCAAGCGTATTATTCAGCTGGTATTTAACTAAAATATATCAACCTTCGCCGACGCCTCAAGATTCCACATTTTCCTTCCCCCGACTCCCTTCCCATCAACCATCTTGCCGTCAGACACTCGCAGTCGGAGTGCCCAGATAACCTACTCGTTTCGCTGCCTCGTTGGTATACCTGTGTGTCTCTTGGATAGGAGAAGCCGAATAGCCCTGGTAGAAGAATAGCCGGGAAGAGCGTATCCTTGTTTCTCCAGTTTACCCCTCCTTCGCGCCGGTAGACGTTCTCTAGGAAGATAGCCAGCGCCCTTGTGGAATTGGCTGCCAGCTATCGTTGTTGCGTGCCCAAAACCTGGAGGAGATCTGCTTCCGCCGATTCTATCCAAGCCTTCCGCCATCCGTGAGAACCGGCGCCCACTGAACGTTCCGCTGTGGGGAGTGCAGGATTTATACCCGATCAGCTGATCCTTTCGCTGCCTGGCCCTTTGCGCCTTTGTCTATCCTTCGTTCGAGCGCGATCTGGTGTTTTCCTCGATTGCAACTCTCTTCTATTTGTTTTCTATCCGCCACGCGAAATATTTACCTCACATTACTCTGCATTATTCCTTCGCTTGACTCTCTGATCGTGAGCAATGTCGTACTATCCTTCCCAGGGCTACGCGGGAGGTCAGGGCGGGTACCCGCCGCCTCAACAACAATATCCTCCTCAGCCATATGGAGCACCACCACCTCAACAATACCCGTGAGTAGTCTACTGCGCATCATGTGCTATTTTTAAAGGGAGATGGCTTTTGTTCTAACAACCTGCTAGCCCACAGAGTTACGGAGGATATCCACCGCAAGGCCCTCCACCCCCTCAGCAGAACCAATACGGATATACCCCTCACACTCCATCTCCTCAGCCACCGTACAATGGCGGATATCATGTGAGTTTCCCGGGTTGTAATACTCTTTGACTCCGACACATACTGATAATTCCTGTTGAAGGCACCTCCACCTCAACAACCAATGTACGGCGCTCTACCACCCCATCCAAGTGTCTCTCCGCAACCTCCAAACGGTGCCCCAATGTATAGTGGTCGCGCAGGTGGTGAGTACTAGTCACCTATAATACAAAAATAATACATTTCATAGATCTAACCCATGATCAGCGGCCCCTCCCGCACCTTCTCCCTACCCGAATTCCTACAACAATCAGCGCCCTTCCGGACATGGCGTGCCTCCCCCGCCACCAACGCAGCCTGTCCAGTTCGGCCATGGCGCTCCACAGGGATATAGTTTCCAATACTCGAATTGTACTGGAAAGCGGAAGGCCTTGTTGATCGGTATCAACTATTTTGGTCAACGCGGCCAACTACGAGGTTGCATTAACGATGTCAAAAATATGTCGACGTATCTGAACCAAAATTTTGGCTACGCAAGGGAGGACATGGTTATCCTTACCGATGACCAGCAAAATCCAATGAGTCAGCCAACTAAGGCAAACATCCTGCGAGCGATGCACTGGCTAGTGAAGGATGCTAGACCCAACGACTCCCTCTTCTTCCATTATTCAGGTATGTGTTTGCCCGATGTTATAGCGTCTGTCCTTTTTCAAGTCGCTAACTATGTATATAGGTCATGGTGGTCAAACGAAAGATCTTGACGGCGACGAAGATGATGGAAATGACGAGGTCATCTATCCTGTAGATTTTAGATCGGCTGGACATATTGTCGATGACGAAATGCATAGAATTATGGTCAAGTCGCTTCTTCCTGGTGTCCGTCTAACTGCAATCTTCGACTCGTGCCACTCCGGCTCGGCCCTCGATCTTCCATATATCTACTCTACCCAGGGCATTCTCAAGGAGCCCAATCTGGCCAAGGAGGCTGGTCAAGGTTTGCTCAGCGTTGTGTCTGCGTACGCGAGAGGAGATGTTTCAGGCATGCTTTCCACTGTTGGTGGATTAATCAAAAAGGCTACGAAAGGCGATGCAAGTCACCAGAAGGCACGACAAACGAAAACAAGCCCCGCCGATGTTATTATGTGGTCCGGAAGCAAGGATACCCAGACAAGCCAAGACGCCACAATTGGTGGAGAAGCTACTGGAGCTATGTCCTGGGCCTTTATTACCGCGTTGAAGAAGAACCCACAACAGAGCTACGTGCAACTCTTGAGGAGCATCCGTGATGAATTAGCGACGAAATATACCCAGAAACCCCAGTTAAGTTGCAGTCATCCGCTAAGTACGTTCCCATAATTTTTAACTCTCGATGACATCCGTAGGCTGTCTGCTAACCTATGGATTTGTAGATACCGATCTTCTATATGTCATGTAAACGGATATTTCATTCTTAACTTCCCCCCAACCGGTTCGAGGACACGCCTTGTATGAGCAAGCTCGCTAAGTGGTACGCGAATGAAATCTTGACAACAGTGATAAATACAAACCCCTGAGCTGACTCTACTGGAAACGACACTTGGGCTTTGCTTGCTTGATGAAAATTTGCCCTCTCGTCCGAGTATTTGGCCTGTTCGACACTTGTGTTTTGCGAAACTACTCTTCTCCTACCAAATATTCAGCTTCAACTGCATGCTTTACCACTGTACCTTCCTCCAATTGGATATGTCGCCGTTCTCTCTTATTCCCATCTTTTCCTAATGTCTCTAGTTGAAGTACCTTGACGATTTTCCTAGGCCTAAAGCATCTGTTGTTGTCTTTTTTTTTCGATTATCATTCCTAAACTGCCGTGAGTGGCGGACTTGAATACGGGGGGGAAGGAAAAAACCTTGGTAATCACAGTACTCGATAGTCTATATGCCTGTTATCAGTCTATGTTTGCACGTCAATGTCTAGCTTATTATCATTTTTCCTGAAGAGCTGTCATAGTATTGAAAGAATGGAATAGTTAAACACTTCTTTCTTCTTGCTCTCTCTTTGTAATGTGTTTTAACTCTTTAGTTATTGTTACTGATCTGGCTAGTTTGTGCTCTATCAGCTTGTCTTTCTACATCTACTTTTCCCATCTTTTTCAGAAATGATATTCTGATGTTCTTACTCTCAATCTTTTTTTTTTTTTTTTTTTTTTTTTTTTTTTTTTTTTTTTGATGTTATTCTTTTCAAAGTTGCAGTACTTGAAAAAGATCTGTAAAGTGAATATAACTTCTCTTTTAAAAAATTAGTTCTGATTCTAGATAAATATCATGAATAATTGATTCATAAATTATAATAAGAATGAGTGTTATGAAGAAATTGAATCAAAATCAAAGTTCAAAATCAATAATCAAAAATATTTCAATGATAAAGCAACTAGAATTCTCTTTAAGAATGAACATTTTATGTAGATATAGAATATTAATAAAGCTCTCTTTCTTTCACACATCATACTGTCTTCTCAAATCTCCTCTTCTTAATGTAATTATATGAGTGAATTCTCTATACTTATATATTTTTTTTCTCACTCATTCTCTGAGTCTGATGCTTTCACAGTTTTACTTCTTCTGAAGTATTATTCTTATTACATTATTTCTCATCTACATAGTAAAGTGTATCTCAGTGAAGAGAAATCAAGCATATTAAAAATCAAAGAAAATAAATGATAAGAATAGTAAATAGTTGAGAACTTTTAAGTAGATAGATAAACAGAACTGAAAACATAAATTAAAAGACTATAAGAGATATATAAAGAAGAGTAAGAATAATAAAATCATTGAATCAATTTATTAATATTCACTCTGTCATGTCGCGCTAAACTTCGTAGGTGGAACGTGCTAGGGTAAGTTTAAGCTTAAAAGTTAAGTAGAGGTTGGAGAGAGCATGGGCCAACCATAAGGCAGCAGAGATAACTACGCAGGTGACGGACCCGGCGACAAAGATAAATACCAAGAAGAAGAAGAAGAAGAAGAAGAAGAAGAAGAAAAAGACAACAACGAGGGACGGATGTAAGGGCGGCCTGGGGCGTATTTCACTTCTTCCCATTGGTGGTAAGTCACGTGATGGGCGACAGTCCGGATGCGTTAAATGTTGGGGGTCCCGGGAGTTGATCGGCCCTTCTACCAGCAGTGCGCTGGTGGTGACTGAGCTCCTTTGCCCCAGTAGCCTAACTTATAGGTTATGAGACTGTTTGCATGGGTTCAATCCTAGAATGGACTTAAATTTCAAACAAATACCCTGGACATTTAACAGTGTCAAGAGACATCCTAGAAGTGTGCCCTAGAAGTCCCTTGAGCCCTAGGACTGAGTCCACTGAGAGGAGCCATGAGAGGAGTACTGTACTCTGTGGTAGCTGGTCCGAGGGGGGGTGTTGGGGGTCCCGGGTTGATCGGCCCTTCTACCAGCAGTGCGCTGGTGGTGACTGAGCTCTTTTGCCCCAGTAGCCTACATTAAAGAATTATCATCATGTCAACAGACATCAACTACCCACCAGACTAACAGGACAGCAGACATTCCATTAATAGCACGCTATGCAATCAGATATAAAGCCATTCAATCATCCCGGAAGATGTTGGCTGGCTCATGTTTGACCTCTTTCGTCTGTACATCACTTACTCGTCAGACTCATTCCCCTTTGAGTGGCTGCAAAAGACAGAAGACCTCAAGCTGCATTGTATGGACAGCACCAGAGAGAAGATTACTTTTTCAACAACTCCAGAGCTTCTACAAGTCATCCACAAATGTGAGAGAGTTACTGCACCAGAGAAAGCTCAGGGCCTCGGCTTCATTAAGACTGCCGCTCATCAGGTTCTTGATGAGATTCCTTTCATGAAGGCTGAAGAGTATGTATAATTATATCTTTGATACTTCTTTATTCACTTTTTCTTTCCTTCTCTTGACATTTTATCAGGTTTCATGGCCCACTTTTTCGCAGGCTGGGCATCGGCATCATAATCAATTCCCACCCCTGTATTAAGGGGGAACAGATCTTCCATCTTTGTCATAACCACTGGAGCTGCATAATTCGTGATCTCTCAAGCACATTCAACACAAAACCACAAGAAAACCATAGAGATTATCTTCTGAAAAGTGAACTACTGGCAGTCACCTCAATCTTTTACCATCAGATGAATGAGATGGAGTGGCTTTCTGAGGAGGGCCGGTATATGCCTAAGCTCATATACAAGGAAGGTTTCTTGATAGTATGTTCACCTCCTCTTGTCTTTGTACCTCCTTACCTGCAACCCATCGGAAATGTACCCAACACTCACCTTGACACTGAGGGCTATATACAACCTTAGCAAGGACAATTATGACAAGAAGGTAGCCTTTGATATTCTGAAATGGATTTTCTCTCCTTCTGATCCCGCCAGGGAGCTCGCTATGAGAGGAAAGCGGTAGTGGATTTAGTTAGCAGGCGTGAAATGTGAGAGGTAATATTTTCCGGAGCTTTGCTGGTACAAGACTGGGTGAATGCCTAGAGAGAGTTTGCGGCTTTGAGCGTTGTGCGACGGATTTGAATTTTGGCGGAGCGTACAACAGCAGTAACCAAATGTCATAGCAGCTTGGTAACTGGGTGGTAAATAAATGGAATAGTGTTGAATCATGGAGCGAATTTTGAAAAGGACTCTGAAGTTATATTAAACAGGGATATGAATAATGAAACAGGTGTTATATCCCAGCTTTTTTCATTGAACAACGCGATGAACGAATTCTATTCAAAACCACACAGCCCGACTGATACACCAGCACTTCGAAAGTGACCTGCCGCACTCTCTTTTCTCGCACCGACAATATCAACACATTGAAGGAAAACACCAAAGCCCTGGCGAGGGTCCGCTTCATATAATGACCAGCTCTTCTTAATATAAGCCTTTAGCTCAGCAAAGAACTCCTCTATTAGGTTCAAATTGAGTGAGTAGGGTGGTAAATATAGTGATTTCACTCCTGCATCAAAGCACATCTAGCTGAGTGATTATTGATACGCTTACAACACAAGGAGCTCCAAAATGTTTACAGTTCCGTGCCATACAATTAGTAAGAGGTTGTGTAGCTAGATTACAATACACAACAACATTGTTGCTCCAAGATGAACAATTATTACGTGATAGATCTGCGAATAATACGGAGAACATAGGTAAATAACTTATAATAATTTTCTCAACGCCAAACGAAAACCAGTCTGAGCAGTGACTGCTATTGGGATCTTAGCTTGTCGTGGCTCGGAGAATAACAACAGCTTGCTTGCCCTGGTCACATGGGCTGGTGATTTCAACCCATGCAGCTGAGAATTATTCTGCGCCTCAATCAGGATGCTGCCTCAGATATTTACATCAATTTCCGATACTGTTATTTAATCGCAGCCTCATCTCGAGGAAACCGTTTCCCTTGCCATCTACAACTTCTGACTTAATAAACGGGTGAACAGAACAACAAAGACGGACAGCTGCATCGGATATAATTTGATCAAACTATTCGCAGAAGAGTTGGGAATATATCGAATGGGCTTGAATACCCAGAGATGCGAGAATGAAGAGGGCAGTCGCATAACCAATCCGCCCTCAAAATGGAAGATTTCCCACCATCATACGAACTCGCTACAGCTAGGGATGTGTGGACTATAGTTGCTGACTACATCCCATCTGCGGACTTATGCGCCGCCTCACTCGTGTGTAGGAGATGGCATGATATATTCATCCCGTTCCTGTGGGGCGCGCCAGCATCTCATTTCGGAACTGATAACGACGCTGTATATGGTGTGTTTGCCTCTCTTCCATCCCATCACACTCAAACGCCATGGTAATTGAGCTCCCCACTGGGACGTTGGGCTTCTTGCTAACAATGATCGATCTACCAATGGTAAAGTGGCATTGACAAGATTCAGGCGGACGCTCAAACGGGCTCGCCTCGAGGTGCGTATGCTGACTCACACCTTCCACCTGCCACCCGCGCTGTCAGAGATATATGGCGGGCCGAGACGATCATGGCTTCAGGAGGTACTGGAATATCTACCGAATCTCCAATCGCTGCTCGTGTCCCAGCTGCCGTTCTTCGACCACAATTCGCTTATCGCATTGAGGCCAAAATCGAACAATGACAATTCCTGCGAAGCATATGGCCTCCGTCTGCTGATGGCACAGCAGGAACCGAATACTACATCTGTTGGCCTTAGGGAGGCTCTATTGCGATTCCCGCTGTTGGTTTACTTGGATATGTCGTTCACGACGCCGGCAAAGGATCATGGGGTGTTATCGTCTATGTCATATTTGAAACATCTCCAAGTGGTGAAGCTGAGGGGTATTGGGCTTCGAGATGCGGATCTGGAAGTCGTGGCGGAGTCTATTCAAACGCGGGTTCGATTGTTGGACGTGCGAAATAACATGTTGACGGATGCCTCGTTAAGATCCCTCCTACAGAAATGCTTCTTACCACTGGATGCCGCCGAAGAGTCCTCTCCCATTGATAGAGCCGTTAAGTTCCATTTTGAGTGGGCCTGCACTATAAGCCCCTTTGCGAATATCTTGGGCGTAGATTCGTTGAGAAGCGAGAACTTTGATGCCCATCTCATGAAACAGTTAATGATACCCCTGACCGGCCGCTCTGACCCCCAGGATCTACCTCATGTTGGTATTACGCATCTTTACATTTCAGACAATCGACTGTCTGTTGAGGGGTTAGGCAGTTTGCTCAAATCGACGTGCCTTCATGTGCTAGATGGCGGGACCGTGAAGAGTGCTGGGTCGATGTGGAAGCGGAAGGGGTTTGAGCCGATAGCGGATAATGAGAGCCAGTGGGTGGTTGGCGTGAGATATCCAGGTGCTGAAAAACTTATACCAGCACTGCGCCATTCAGCAGCAGACAAGTTGACCTATCTACGAATTCACCATGCGGTGGTTACGGAAAATGCCTCCACGTCATCACGGGAAGTTTTTCCTGCTAGGAAAACACCTACAAGACGTCCCGTCCCCCGGGCTGTTGCTGTGGAATTGGACGGCTCTTCGAGCCAAATTTACGAGCTGCCTGCTGCAAAGCCAGTTGTACGGCATGAACTCGCGGACACCTCATTCCAAAGCCCGATCCCTGGATGGCGGCCTGGAATGCGTAGTGGCTCTGACGCACCATTGCTAACACCAAGCTTTGAAGTGCCAGGACTGGCCCCTCATGAACCTTCATCATCAACGCTATCGTCATCTTCCCAGCTTCGAACCGACTTCATCGAAGCGTTACTCAAAAAGCGACCTAAACTAAGCAACGGCACAGCCCCGTTCTTCCATCCCTCTCACACCCCACACCTCCGAACACTCGTCCTCACAGATGTACCCGCAACCGTTCAACCCTCATCTTCCCACATCATATCCCGCCTAACCCACTTCATCACAGCGTGTGCAGATGAAGCCTTCCTAGCCGGCCTACAGGCCCGTTCCAACTACTCCCTGCCCCCTGGCCGGTTACGTGCCAATGCAGAGCGACGGCATGCACGATCTCTTTTCTCCCTTGAACGCATTATCCTTGAGATAACGCCTGTCGCCAAACCCGATACCTCCATAGGCTCGACGTCCTGGAAGCGCAGCGGCGCGGGCATCTCTAAGTCTAGCACAGAGGATGTAGACTCGGAGAACCTGTGGGCGGCAGCGGAGAATGATTTTAGCTTCTTTAGCGGGGAGACCGAGGAGGAGTGTGGGGTTCTAGATGAAGAGATTAAGGTTAAGGATAACGATATGGACGGTGATATTGATGCTGAATCTATGCGTTCACTTCGGATCCCGGAGCTCGAAGCTTCTACCCCATCGTTATCCCATCGTGCCTCCGCAACATCTCTACGCAATACGCAGAGACTCGCTCACCGTCCCACACCCAAACCCACACCCACATCACAACCCCGCTCGTTATCTCCATTCCCCCCTCCAAATCAGACCCTAGTATCCACACCATCTCCCCCTCCTCCCTCGAACAACCAGCAGCAGCAGCAGCCGTCGACAGCCCCTGCCACGCCCACACAGGACGCAGACATTGATGTCGTCGCTGCTCTAGCCGCGTTCCGCAAGGCTAGAAAAGCAGAATACGAAGAAATGTTACTACGCGCCAAAAAGCAAGGGTCGAGCGGGAGTACTACGACTAATTCTACTCCTGTGTCCACTTCTACCATAACTCCGACGTTACCACGATCAACAATGTCATCGTCTTCATCGTCGTCGACGACTTCGTCAGGTGCATCACTCAATTATCCGCTGTACGTTGAGGGCTATTGGAAGGGGGAAGTGAAGATTGTGAGAAACCCGATGCCCAAGGGCCGGAGTGGTGGGTTTGTGGATATTTATGGGAATTATTTTGAGAGGGGGTATTTGTATCCTTGAGTTTCTAGGAATTATTACTTTTTTTTCCTTCCAACGTGTGCACGTACAGCTTGTGCGTGTTACATATCAAAGGATCTTATGACATAATGATACTTTTTTTGCATATATTATAAGTCAAATCATTTTTATTTTCATTTCGCATTTTTTAGATATCTTCTCGCATCCCCAGAAGGCTCACTTCCTCCGCGGCGTATGATTATGCGCTCCGTGCTCATTTACCCATTTTTCCTTCTTCAAATCACGTTAGTAAAACAAAGTGTCATCGTTCGCCAAACGCGCAGAGAGAAAGAAAGGTATCAAATGAGTCCACTAAAACCGCACGGCTCGGGGACAAAAACACTTAAAAGGAGGAATAAGGGCGTTTATCGTTTCCCACATTCATGTCTCATTTCTTTTGTTTTCCTTCTTATTCTCCTTCTTCTCTTCATCCGCCTTTTCACGTCTTTGTTTTTTCCCCTTGGAGCCATGTTGATATATAAAAACCCAGTTTTTATTTGCCTGACACCGTTTAACAAGAGGGAAAAAAAATTAAAAAAATAGACAAAGCGGAAGAGAGAAAATATAAAAAAGGAAAGAAGTAAAAAGGTGAAAGATAAAAATTTGGCATGATAGTAGCAGCAGCGTCACCACACCCCATTATCCCAACCACGTTCTCCCGAACACACCTATCGACTAGACTCATATCTATACCTGAGCAGTCTTGGCGGCCTGGGTTGGGCTCATCTTCTTTCCATCTCTGTTGTACCGGATTCTTGGGGGGGGAGCCCGGTTGCGACGGCCCTCTCGGGAGCGGACACTAGAAAGCAGATTTAAATCAGTATATCAAACTGTTCCGCGTGTTCAATTTCCCTCTGATATCGCCCCATTATATCTATTCCTCGCGTGGCCTCTTCACCCTCTTTTTCCGTTTCCCTGGGAGCCTTGATATCTTTTTCTGACTTTATTGTGGTGTTTTCTGGAAGGAGAGAGGACGAGAAACGGAGAGAAAGGGCTTGGGAATTTGCTTGGATTGGGTTCGGCCATACCGCACAATCTTTCCGTGAATGGCGCAGGAAACGCAGTACTGGAGCTTCAAGTACATCTTGGGTACGGCGTAATCAGCGAAGACGGATGCGTCGGAGATATCACCTAATTATTCGCGAAAAACGGATGTTGGTATTAGCAATAATTTCTTCCATTTCCCTCCCTTTGCTCATCTGTAAATGGTGGAAGAACGTACGAATGGCGGCAGACTCGACCATGTTACGGATGGTGAATCTCTTGATGGCCTTGTCCTTGGGAGTGCATCGCGAGCAGTTGGAGCATCGGATTGGCTTGACGTGGCCGCGACCCTTCTTGTTACGTCCGCTGTTCCATTAAAAACAGGCCAATTGTCAGCCCATCTATTTCCGGAAAAAAACTTGGGTTTTTCGCCCCTTCCCCATAATTGATATCTCATAAATTTCTCAACTAATTTCCAATTCCTGTATTTCGCTCCGCGTAAAGAAGGGGGATATTTGAGGGTTCCTCAATGCACATACTTCGACGCCCGTTTCTTGACCATTTTGGCGGATTCTGTATATTCGTTCGACGTTAGGGAAAGAGTGCAATAGCAGCGACAACGCCTACACACAGGGGGCCCGGGGGAAGAGAGAAGCGTACTGGTTGAAGTCGGCGGGATGAGGTGGTTGAAAAAGCGCTGTCCTGGCCCTGGCTCCGCGATGTTGGTCTTGTTTGTGGGCAAGAGGGCTAGCGGGTTAACTAAGCGAACCGGGCTTAGCTAAGCAGCATTCCCGTGATCCACCGACCCCGTGACCAGTGCCTGGCCGTTGCAGTTCTCCCAAACTTTATGTTGGTTCGTTCTGTGGCAGGAACACAGCATCAACAACAATATCCGGCGTCGAAAACTCCCCTTTTTGCTCTCCCAGTTTTCCCGGATATCCCTCTCTGACATCCATCCCTCGCCCCCAACAAGGCTGCGTGGCGGATCGACCATTCTCTCACTAGTGTTTATTTTATCTACATTAATTACGCCTAGTTCTAATTTCATTGTGTTATATCGCCGAACATGTCTGCTGCAGGGGGAGGAACTTTTAGGAATCGGACTGTGGGCCGTGGCCAGATTCCCTTCGATGGCAACCCGTCTGGTATTCCTCGCAAGGTTGACCAGGGACCCCCACCCGCTGCTGCTCCGTCTGATATTGGAAGCAGCTCTGCCTTGAGTACCAGCAGGCAAAAGCAGTCAAAGCGTGATGAGGTAAAAATATATACATCTCTTCCTTAGTTCCTCCGACGTTCAATTGGTTGGATAACTACTCTTCTCTTCTCTTGCTGTTATATAGGACTAAGTATACATGTTTCAATGGCTAGGCTATTAGAAAAAAAATGGAGGCGGACCTCAATAAGAAGAGGCATGGAAACCCTGCTCGTTCTCGCCATAGCCGCAAACCCCCCCCGGGAACTGTCATGGCTCTCAAACCCAGCCAGGCTCTCCAGATCAAACCCAACACCACGGTTGCAGAGGCTGCCCAATTGATGGCTGCGAAGAGAGAAGATTGCGTTCTTGTGACGGATGATGACGACCGTATTGCTGGTATATTCACTGCAAAGGATTTGGCGTTTAGAGTTGTCGGTGCTGGCATTAGGGCTCGGGATGTTACAATTGCAGAAATCATGACGAAGAATCCTCTCTGCGCGAGAACCGACACCAGTGCTACCGATGCCCTGGACCTCATGGTCCGGAAGGGGTTCAGACATCTTCCTGTTATGGATGAGAACCAGGATATATCTGGAATCCTTGACATTACCAAGTGTTTCTACGATGCGATGGAGAAGCTGGAGAGGGCATATAGCTCATCTCGCAAATTGTATGATGCTCTCGAAGGTGTACAGTCCGAACTGGGCTCCAATCAGCCACAGCAAATTATCCAGTACGTGGAGGCTTTGCGTCAGAAAATGTCTGGCCCGACCTTGGAGTCTGTTTTGAATGGATTGCCACCCACCACTGTATCAGTACGCACGTCTGTTCGGGAGGCCGCTGCATTGATGAAGGAGAATCACACTACCGCTTTGCTGGTCCAGGATCAGGGTTCGATTACTGGGATTTTTACCAGCAAAGACGTTGTTCTCCGTGTTATCGCCCCTGGATTAGATCCCAATACCTGTAGCGTTGTTAGGGTTATGACACCTCACCCTGATTTTGCTCCCACCGATATGAGCATTCAAGCTGCCCTCCGGAAGATGCACGGTTAGTTCTGAGACCTCTTTCAAGTTAATATCGGAGGTATAATAAATCTCACTGACAATGATGTAATAGATGGACACTATCTTAACCTACCTGTTATGAACGAAGCTGGAGAGATTGTTGGCATGGTCGATGTGCTGAAGTTGACCTACGCTACTCTCGAGCAGGTACGCTTCTTCCTTCTGTTTCAGACTCTTTTTCATCGATTCTTACTCACGCTTTTACCATTGTTCTAGGTTAATACTATGTCAACGAACGAAAGTGAAGGGCCTGCGTGGAATAAGTTCTGGCTTTCTATGGACAATGAGTCTGATTCCATGGTGTCTGGCAGCCATCAACCCCACACTTCTCACCGTTCCGTTATGAGTCCCGATATGTCAAGATCTCACGGTGATCGTGAGAACAGTGTTCTTCCGAACGAATCAGCTTCGCACCACGGCGACGAGGCTGTCTCTGATATTTTAGGGGCCAGATCAGTCCATAATGTGGACACTCCCTTTCCGTTCAAATTCAAAGCCCCCAGCGGCCGAGTACATAGACTTCACGTTACCCCTTCTGCAGGTGTAGCAGATCTTGTCTCCCAAGTTTCTTTGAAACTGGGAGCCGAAGTTGAAGCTGTTGGCGGGCAAGCTGCTGTTGAAGATGGCAAAATGAGCCACACAGGCTATGCGCTGAGTTATTTGGACAGCGAGGGTGATACAGTCTCTATCACAACTGACCAAGATCTATTTGATGCCATCACTCTGGCCCGGAGAGCCAGCCAAGACAAAGTGGATCTTTTTGTACACGATCCCGAGAAGCAGCCCATCATCACGCCTCCTCCTGCCCCTGAACCCCAGCCGCCAGTTGCGAAATCTGCCACCCCCGCCGGGTCTGTTCTGAGATCTACAACGGGAGAAGATGACGAGCCGAGCATTTCAGAGCGTGAAAAGCCGCAGACTCTTGTCCGGCCACCAACTGCGGAGCAGCAGTTGATAAACGGGGTGCCCAATGAACTTATCCTCCCTGGAGCCATTGTGACGTTGGCTGTTGCTATTGTTGGTGTTTTCATTCTCAGCCGGGCGGGTAATCGGTAGTTATTGTGCCACTCCATCTCCCTAAAAACGGGAAAAAAATTTCCAATTCAAGAAATAAAATAATTCAACTTGGGCATTGATTGGTAGATGGAACACATATCTCGCGCGTTTAAAGAAGATATTCGGGCAATGTCCGCGTTTTTTTTTTTTTTTTTTTTTTTTTTTTTTTTTTTTTTTTCTTTTTCTTTGTCTCGTCTCTCCCTAACTTTCTTATGATATGTATCCATTATTGTATTCTTTGCTATCTATCTTGCCACTTTCGATAATATCCCCTACGCCTACATACATAGCATTGCATGTACCACTGCTCCGCCATCTAAAGATATCACGGCCAATATTCCAACTATTAGCGAGTCCCAAGTGGGTTAAGTTTGTTTCCCTTTTTTGACCTTTTCTGATTTTAATTTCTAATATATTTATTGCATTTTTATCTTTCTTCTCCTCTCTTGTTTCTATGACTACCTATTAGAACAATCCAAAAGACAAAGTTTGCAATACAAGACAACATGATTCCAAGATTATTTTCAGGAACTAAGTCCCTGTCCTGCTGGTTTTGACTGTTCGGGACTAGTGCGGGCTGCCCATCTACGCTAACCGGATCTACCCTAGCGCGCATCTTCTCTCAACCACATCCCACCTGCACCAAAAAAGCTGCCTTCCACTTCCTCTCGTTCGCGTCTGTTCTGCTCTTCGTCTCCTCTCTTCTCTCTCGCTGTATACCTTTTCTCCTCCTTTCTCTCTCCCCCACGATACAGCGTGTCTGCCGTTGCGTCTATGCGCTGCTCGTCGCTGAGCTTGTCGCGTCTAATCCCAGCCAGCCTGTGCATGCCCCCACAAACGAAAACAAATTCGTGTCTGCTTCGGCCGTTGGTTGTACTTAGAAACCCCCCACCACCACCAACAACCACCGTCTTAACGTCCAACTTTTATAATTGAAACAAGTCTCCAACGCACAAACCGAATACGTCTGATATACCGGAAATTCAATCTAATTGGGTTCCCCCTTTCCTACTCGTTCCTTTCCTTTCTCTAAGATATTTTTTGGCGCGCGCGTATCCGGCTACACATTTCCTTGTCTTTTCGTTGAAATTTAAAAAGAAGCAAGTTTCCCGATACTCCTCAGATAGCGCCTAGGGACGATACAAATACAACTACAAAAACGAGAACGAGAACCATCAGTAACACCTATACCAACACCCCAACAGTGAGGAGCAACAATGTCGTTGTTGCCGCAGGAGGTCCACGTTGCGCTCTCGCAGCTCTTGCTTGCCTTAGCATCCGCCGACAATATAGTGCGGACGCAGGCTGAGGAACAGTTGAATAATGAATGGGTGCAGGGCCGTCCTGATGTCTTGCTCATAGGGCTGGCGGAACAATTAAATGGGGCGGAGGATGCCAGTGTACGTATTTGGAAGGATGTCGTTTTTCTTTTTCGCTGTGTTTTGTTAACATATATCTTGCTTACCTCTTTTCGTTTGTATATAGACACGATCATTTGCTGCTGTCCTGTTCCGTCGGATATCGACACGGTCAACGAGGCTCCCCAATTCTACTGAATCGAAGGAGTTGTTCTTCACGCTTTCGCAAGAGCAAAGAGTGGCCATTCGGCAAAAACTGCTAGAGTCGCTGGGGAATGAGAGTTTAGCCCACGTGCGGAATAAAATTGGCGACGCCGTGGCTGAAATTGCGGGTCAATATGCCGACCATGGTATGTCTTTGCTAACCCGCACCGAATGCAAATTACCTGAGCCTAGCGCCCAATCATTAATTTATTTATTGGGGATCTTTTAGGGGAGCAATGGCCCGAACTCCTTGGAGTGCTTTTCCAGGCTAGTCAGTCTACTGATCCTGGTGTGCGAGATTCCGCGTTCCGGATATTTTCGACGACACCGGGTATTATTGAAAAACAACATGAGGATATGGTTGTGGATGTTTTCTCGAAAGGTTTTAGGGATGAGAATATTTCTGTATGCACCTTACATGAAAAGAACGAAGCGATGCGCCTTGTTTTTACTGATGATCCGGAACTACGAACTAATATAGGTTCGGATATCTGCAATGGAAGCGTTTTCCTCATTCTTCCGTTCCATCACAAGGAAGAGCCAAACAAAATTCTTCTCCTTAGTCCCCGATGTTCTCAATATATTGCCTCCCCTCAAAGAGGCCGATGAGAGCGATAACCTGTCCAAGGCATTCATTGCGTTAATTGAGCTCGCGGAAGTGTGTCCCAAGATGTTCAAGGCGCTCTTCAACAACCTTGTAAAGTTTAGCATCAGTGTTATTGGCGATAAAGAACTGTCTGATCAAGTGAGACAGAATGCGCTTGAGTTGATGGCTACATTTGCCGATTATTCCCCTAAGATGTGCAAGAATGATCCGACGTACGCCGGGGAAATGGTTACCCAATGTCTGAGTTTGATGACCGATGTTGGCTTGGATGACGAGGATGCTGCTGAATGGACTCAGTCAGAAGATGTAAGCACTGAACCCAATTTCTAAGGGCAGTGGCGGCTTATTGATAATGTTGCTAACGCTTCTATCCCTGCAGCTTGATCTCGAGGAAAGTGACAAAAACCACGTTTGCTGGTGAGCAATGCATGGACCGCCTAGCCAAATCAACTCGGCGGCCAGGTAATTCTACCCGCAACTTTCGTCTGGGTTCCTCGCATGATGTCATCAACTGCCTGGCGCGATCGGCATGCGGCGCTTATGGCGATTTCCGCTATATCCGAAGGTTGCAGGGACCTCATGGAGGGCGAACTGGACCAGGTTCTCGCACTTGTCGTGCCAGCGCTCCAAGACCCACACCCGCGAGTCCGCTTTGCTGGGTGCAATGCCCTTGGCCAGATGAGCACCGATTTCGCACCAACCATGCAGGAAAAGTACCATTCCATCGTCCTCGGAAGTATTATTCCCGTTCTGGATTCGACTGAACCCCGCGTCCAGTCCCATGCCGCTGCTGCGCTAGTTAACTTCTGCGAGGAGGCGGAGAAGGAGATTCTTGAGCCTTATCTTGAAGAGCTCCTGAGACGCCTGCTACAGCTACTGCGAAGCCCAAAGCGATATGTTCAGGAACAGGCGCTTTCTACCATCGCTACAGTTGCTGATTCTGCGGAGACTGCATTTGGACAGTTCTATGATACTCTTATGCCGTTGTTGTTTAACGTTCTGAATGAGGAGCAATCCAAGGAATTCCGAATTTTGCGTGCGAAGGCTATGGAATGCGCCACTTTGATTGCACTGGCAGTTGGAAAGGAGAAGATGGGCCGGGATGCGTTGACTTTGGTACAGCTTCTTGGCAATATCCAACAGAGCATTACGGATGCGGACGATCCTCAATCGTCGTATCTTCTCCACTGCTGGGGTCGCATGTGTCGAGTCCTCAAGCAAGATTTCGCTCCATATCTTCCCGGTGTCATGCCGCCACTTCTCCTAGTTGCTGGTGCCAAAGCGGACGTCCAGATTCTCGATGATGAAGAGCAGCTTAGACAGGTTGAGCAAGACGTAGGGTGGGAGCTCGTTCCGTTGAAGGACAAAATTATTGGAATTCGAACAAGCGCACTCGAAGATAAAAACACTGCTATTGAGCTGATTACGATTTACGCGCAAGTTCTTGCTGCTGCCTTCGAGCCTTATGTTGTTGAGACCCTGGAGAAGATTGCTATTCCAGGGCTGGCGTTTTTCTTCCACGACCCGGTCCGGGTCTCGTCTGCTAGCTTAATCCCTCAGTTGCTAAATTCTTACAAGACAGCACACGGGGATCAGTCTCCTGAATTCTTGCAAATGTGGTCCAAGACTGTCGAAAAGCTTATTGAGGTTCTAAGCGCAGAGCCTGCCATTGATACACTGGCGGAAATGTTCCAATGCTTCTACGAATCAGTTGAAGTTGCCGGGAAAAATAGCCTAACCCCTGCTCACATGCAAGCATTCATCACGTCTGCAAAGTCATCGCTTGTAGACTATCAGGAACGAGTAAAGCGACGTTTGGAAGAAAAAGCAGAACTCGAGGATGGGGATGATGATACCTACTCCTATGAAATCGAAGTCGAAGAGGACCAGAACCTTCTTAGCGACATGAACAAAGCCTTCCACATCATCTTCAAGAACCATGGCCCTGCCTTCCTACCAGCTTGGGGTCAACTGCTCTCTTTCTATGATTCCTTCATCGCAAGCCAGGACTCCACGCAGCGTCAATGGGGTATTTGTATTATGGACGACGTGCTTGAATTCTGCGGTGAGCAATCGTGGAATTACAAAGATCATATCCTGCAGCCACTCATTAACGGCATGCGGGATGACAATGCCGCGAACCGGCAAGCAGCATGTTATGGTGTCGGCATGGCTGCGCAGAAGGGCGGGCTAGCGTGGAGCGAGTTTGTGGCCGCGAGCATCCCGACGCTCTTCCAGGCGACGCAGCACGCCAAGGCCAGGACTCAGGAGCATATCTTCGCGACGGAGAATGCGTCAGCTAGTATTGCGAAGATTTTACATTACAATTCTAGTAAGGTGCAGAATCCGCAGGAGGTTGTGGAGAATTGGTTTAATACTTTGCCCATTGTCAACGATGAGGAAGCGGCGCCGTATGTCTATTCGTTCCTCGCGCAGCTTATTGACCAGTATGTATCCCTTCCCCTTCCCAACCTCGACCCCTTTTTTTTATCTTTAAGTTCAGGCGCAATTTGTGCTAGAGCTGACCCAAAAATTCTCAAATAGACAAAATCCCACAGTGTTCAACAATGCTGCGAAGGCATTCACGTTCATCGTACAGGCACTTGAAGCAGAGACGCTGCAAGGCGGTACAGCCGCTCGTGTGGCGAGCTCGGCGAAACAACTGGCGACAGCAACGGGCATAAATGTAGAGCCGATATTTGCAAATGTTAACCCAAAATACCAGATGGCCGTCCGAAGTTTTTTTCAATAAAACCACTGTGGACCGGGTAGTTAGGACTTTAGTGGTCTCGCTTCTGAATTTTTTTTTTCTTTTCCCCCCGTTTTGGTTCCTTTTGTCTCTTTTCCCGTTCATATTCATCTTCGTCATTACCCCATCTGCCGTTTATATCATTCCTGTGGTCGATTGCTTTTCTCCCGGCTCTTCCCTCCCCCCAGTTTTTCGTCTTTTTCATTTAAACTACCGGATTTCTACTGCTTGCCCCTATGTTTACCAGATCATGCATGTCCCGACTTACCTCAAGGTTCCTTTCCCTCTTAGGATCCCAGAGTCGTATTTTCCTTCGTAACTTCTTGTCTTTTCCCAGATAACCAATACCTCCCAATCCCAGCAGTCGTCCAAACAAATGTCTATTTTTCTTCTCCCTTTCTTCTATTCATCCTGAATTTTGAAATGTCACCACAACCACAACAACCAACGACGAACACTGCTAGAAAAACGAAATGTTACATTTTTAATACATAGAGATTATGGAATGCTCTCTCCTCTACCTGACGTGTGCGTTCCTTGAATTTCTAAGGAGCAGGGAAATCGAGAAGATTGTATACATAATCACTCTAGAACTTGGGCCTTTATCAATCAACCCTTCATTCCCACGCCTCCCCCTTTCTATGAGACCGGATCCCTCCGAGTGCGACGTGTTACCATTTTTTCACATGGACGTTTACATACATCATTCAAATGTTCCCGATTACAAGTCACCTTCATAAGAAGACAACGGGGTAACTCCACAGTCATAATTTCAGGGTTTTCTTTATTTGCCTACTCTAGTTTTGCTGCTTTGATGGTATGAGATATGCGGGGGAAATAAGTAAAATAAACGAATTTTATCCAGACAGACATACTCTACCATACCTGGCCAGGCAAAGTGAGTCTGGAGAAAAGTATTGAAGTAAAATTAAATATATCGCTGATGCCGCCCGAGTATGTACTGTGATTAATCTTTGCCTTTAATGAAAATCTTTTTGTCTACTCCGTGTCTCAAGCCTAAAGGAAGTAGAAGACAAACGAGAAAAGGAGACATAAAGGACGACGAAAGGAAATACAGGTTGGTAAATGACGAATGAAACGCAAGAGCAAAGTATCTAAATGACAAATAGAATATAGGAAACAGCAAAAATCGTAGAAGATGGATTAGAAATCCAAGGGAGAAATTCCACTCATCTATATAGAAAAACACCCTAGTAGCAATTTTATTTTTTATTTTTTTAACAAACCCCGTTGGAAACACACCCGGTGTCTCAACCTGCCTATTTATTAGCTTTCTTCGCCAATAAATTCAACGCGCTTCCCGCAAGGATAAATCCACACTGATCCTTGCTCAACGTATGTTTCATCGGAATCTCAAAAACCTCTCCACTCCCCTTCTTCGTCACCCGCAATCTCACCTCCTGACCCCCCTGCCCACCGCTGGTCAGTACCTCATACAAGCCAACCGTATCAACCGTATCACACGCATCAATCCGGTCATAATCCGCCTTGTCCCTAAACGTCAACGGTACGACGCCCTGTTTCTTCAAGTTCGTCTCGTGGATGCGCGCGAAGCTCTTGGCGGCAATTATGCGTCCGCCTAGATAGCGCGGTTGTAGCGCGGCGTGTTCGCGCGCACTGCCCTCGCCGTAGTTGTCTTCGGCGACAACGAGCCATTCCGTGCCGGCCTCTTTCCATTTGGAGGCGAGGTCTGGGATGGAGTAGGTGCTACCATCGATGTCGTAGGCGACGTTCGTCTCGCCTGTTGCAGCGTTTATGGCGCCGATGAGGGTGTTGGCGGAGATGTTCGGGAGGTGGCCTTTGTATTTGAGCCAGGGGCCGGCGGCAGAGATGGTGTCTGTTGTGCATTGACCCTTGACTTTGTAGAGGACGCGAAGGGAAGTGAGGTTGTGGGGGGGGAAAGGTGAGAAGGGTTCGAGGACTGCGAGGCGGTCTGAGGTTGGGGAGATTACGACGGGGCAGGAAGGGGATGGGGCGGCCATGCTTGGTTGGAAGTCTGGGTTTCCTGATTCGAAGCCGGATTTGGGGAGGTCGAAGCCTGTCGGGGGACGGAACTTGAAGGGTTTGCCGCTTGGGGTTGGGAGAGTGTCCGTCATGGGGTTGAATGTGGTGCTGCCCGCATATGACATGGCAGTGACAATTTCGGGAGAAGCGAGGAAATTCATGGTTGCGGGGTTTCCATCGTTTCGTCCGCGGAAATTGCGGTTGTATGAGGTCAGGATCGCGTTGCTCTCGCGTTTCTTGACCCCATCAGTCCGCTTCCATTGACCGATACACGGTCCGCAGGCGTTAGCTAGGACGGTTCCCCCGGCAGCAGAGAAAGTTGCCAATGTCTGATCGCGGTCTAGGGTAGCTCGAATTTGCTCACTTCCCGGCGTGATGAAGAAATCTGCTTTTGGCTTTAGGCCGGCCTCGGAAGCTTGTTTGACAAGATCTTCCGCACGAGTCATGTCTTCATAAGAACTGTTGGTGCAGCTCCCAATAAGACCAGCGCCGAAAGTTTCAGGCCACTTCTTTTCGCGAACGGTCTGTGCAAATGATGACAGAGGGATTGAAAGATCTGGAGTAAAGGGTCCATTAATATGTGGCTCGAGGGTTGAAAGATCAATTGTAATATGTTGATCATATTCTGCGTTGATGTCTGCGCGCAGGAGGTTCTGAGGACCCGATGACGCAATAGCCGCTGCGGCATCTGCAATATCGCCTCGATTGGTGGCTCGCAGGTACGGTACCATGCTAGGTGAGAAAGGGAAAAGTGATGTAGTTGCTCCAACTTCAGCGCCCATGTTGCAGATAGTAGCCATTCCGGTACAGCTAAGCGATTCGACACCAGGGCCATAGTACTCGATTATATACCCAGTGCCGCCACGAACAGTCAATTTCCCAGCAAGGTGCAGAATGATATCCTTCGGCGCCGTCCAGCCAGACAGTTTGCCTTCAAGCTTAACCCCAAGCACCTTTGGCGCCTTTAATTCCCAAGGGGCATCCACAAGCGCATCAACGGCATCCGCACCACCAACGCCAATAGCAATGGCGCCCAAACCACCGCCGTTAGGCGTATGGCTATCTGTACCCAGCATCACAAGGCCCGGAGCAGCATAGTTCTCCAAAACGGTCTGATGAATAATGCCCGCACCGGGAGGCCAAAATTCAATACCATATTTCTTCGCAGCGGACTCCAGGAAATCAAAAACCTCTTTATTCCCCTTAATCGACGCTGGGAGATCCACATCAGCTCCCTTTTCCCCCACAATCATGTGATCGCAATGTATGCTCGCAGGGACTGCGGTCGAGGGGAGTCCACACGTCATGAATTGAAGCAGTGCCATTTGCGCCGATGCATCCTGCATGGCGACACGATCGGGCTTCAGCTTCAGATTGGCCTGGCCGCGGATATTCTTCCCATTCTGGGTATCGGAGAGGAGTGACTCTTCCACATTATCGAGATGGGAATACAGGATCTTCTCAGCGAGGGTGAGAGAGCGCTCGGTTCCTAAGACCCGTCGTACTTCGCGGAGATTGTTTAGAATCTTGGGATATGGAGGGAAACGGGAGGAATTGCTATTTGCGCTGTTTTGAGGGTCTGCCTCTGTTGCAAGCCCGCGGCTTCGGATTCGGGCTCCGAGTGGTAGGCATTGTGCAAGCTGATTTATTGTTAGTTAAACGCCGGGATACATACTAAATTAAATGGTATGGTTACTAACCTTTCGCGAAGCAACTGCCCTTTGGCAGAAATACTGCCGCATCATTTTGGAGATATCCGCAGCTATTGCCAGAAAGAAGTTGAAAATGTCTCCATTCGATGTTGGCGGAAAGAGTAAGTTTTTGGGGTAATCTTTTCAGGAGAATGCTGATTGGCTGACTGCGGCTGACTAAGGCCGATTTCGGGTCTAATTTTGTGGGGAATAACATCGGAAGGTGGCTGTCACTCAATTAATAGATACATAGCATTCGATAGCTGGTAGACAGAGATTATGATACAACTCCCATTGTACAAGGTTGAGAAAGTTAAATTGTACCATCAACAAACCTCAGTAGAGAGATCGTCCCAAAAAAGCCAAAGAAAAGCTGAACGCGAGCCTGATATGAAGAAGGAAAGAAAGACGGGTATGAAATATCATAGGAAAGGTGGAAAAAAGATCATTATTTAAATGCCAACCAAAGAAACCGTTCATAAATTAATGCTATCTTCTCATTTGCTGTCTCTACTCTCTTCCGTGTCTGCCCTAAGCTCGTAGCAGAGATCATAACATTGTGCAAGAAGTTCGTTGACACTCCCTTGACCTTCGGGTAAGTCATTCCCAACATAAAACTTACCATCAACTCTCATATTATCGATGGAGTTGAGCTGAAGGGCGTGTTAGCACCGTGTGCATGCATAAAGCCAGAAAATATATAATAGCAGCTAATAATAGCAAATGGGTAGTAGACTGACCTTCATACTATATGGATAGAGTTCCCTGGAATTGGAAACCCCGCCCGACTCCTTAACTTCAATTAAGCATCTCCTCAATGTCTGAAGTTGGTTATATATTGGTAGGAGCGCTTCCGAGACAGGCTCAGACGAGATAAGCAAACCGTATATTAAGGCATAGCTCCTTCGAATCAGATAAAGAAGTGTCTGCGCGGAAAATCAGTACCCGAAAGTTCACTCAAACTTCTAAACCGGGAGAGCAATATAACCATACCCTTTGAGCGTGAATATCGGCCGGTTTCCCATCGCTATCCAAGAAATTCCCATCAACCCGGGATTCGTCAATATTGTTAAGCTTTCTCTGATACATAAATAAATCTGTTTCTCTTAGCGACCAAGCCTGGGTCATGACAAGGCGATCTAGCTGGTTGCGAATCTCCAGAAGTTTGATATATGGGTCTTTGAACCGTTCGTCGATTTGGCCATGCCTAGAAAAGTAAACAAAGGGGATTCAGTAAGCCTGAATCCACCAATTCAGGGCAATTGCGAGGCGTTACCTTTCGAGCACAATTTCCGACCATTTCCAACATCTATCTAACAAAGCTTTAACGATTTCTTGGCCTTCAGGGATCGAGCCATCAGGTCCCACAAAATTACCGCCTTTCATTGAATCCTGTATAGCTTTGAGTTGCTCTCGGAAGCTCGCGACCTCAGAGGCAGAAAACTACGAAACCACAGTGGAAATTAGCCTAGTGTACGAACCTGGGAAGTAAAAAAAAACTAGACACTACCTTTGACCTTGTATTTGCAGCCGATGTAGAACGTAAAATGGAGACGAGTGTCTCATGAGTCGGGGCGAGCTCGGGCGACAAGAACGAAAGCTCATGCTGCAGTTCAGCTAATTGTTTCCGACATGTTTCTAAACGAACCTCCAAAAGCTTCAATACATCCGGTGAACATGTCTCTTTTCCTCTATTAATGTTCTCCTGCATGGTATCCAAGGTTTTCGAGACCGAATCCAAGTCCTTCTGGCTATAAAATGCCGCTTCCCTTAGATGGTCGAGGAGGCGCTACATTACATCAGTTAGAACGATTATGGAACGGGTACACCCATTTTTAATTACCTTAATTGTTGAAGCCATGGCATATCTATTGAATCAGATATATGTTAGTAATTGCCTGTTGTAACCGGACTGGGAATAAACCGGAAAGAAAAGAGCAGGTATGTATATAGATAAGAATTTTAAACTTACGCTGCGGGGGCTTCATTGTTCCTCCCAACGGTAAGAAATAGCAACGAAATCAGCTGGAAACAATCGTCAAGCACATTATCAACTGCGGCATGAGGACTGGAGTTAGATGAATAAACTGGCCGTAAGTCCTGAGAAGGGATGTTCTATTGCGGGGTGGACGAACCTCGACTATGCTCTACTGTATGTTCCGTTCGGATGGCGTTCAGCCTCTGGACTTGTTCGACGACCTGGTCATGATAGTGGAGCACATCTTGGGACTTGATGTACCTCGATTTATCTTGTTTGAGGAGCAAGAGGGCGTCTCGAATTACAAGGAGCTGGTCTAGGATAGGTTGTTCTTGAGGATCTAGAGGGATGGATACGGCGGGGGAGTCGGCCATATTTCGAGAGATTGGCCCACTTTCATACGCGGTTAAATTGGAGCTGCGGCTAGCCCGGAAACAGGAAGGGATAAATCCAGGCCAAACACAAGTAAACTGGAGGTTGTATGTAGATGGTGTAAGTGTTGTAGATGTTCCGATAGGTCTCTAACAAGTGTTTCCCGATCGGGGTGGAAGATAAATTCCCCACGTGACCCCGCTGCAAGCACGGGCCATCCCAGCCAAGGTTAAGCGAGGGTTTTATTTTCCACACAATTTTGGACACCAACGAACCGACGACGACGAGCTGCTTCCGATCTGTCATCTCTTTTCTCTTTCTCCCTCCCCGTCAACCCAACGCCTGCATCGCATCACATCGTATCCTTTGCCGCCGGATACCCTCTCTCACAATGTCTACCGCCGAGCTCGCTGTTTCCTACGCCGCCTTGATCCTGGCCGATGATGGCGTTGATGTCACGGTATGTTTAGACCCGTACATTCGAAAATGTGATATTTTGGAAGAAAGGGGAAGCCTGCAGCTGCAAAGCGACGTGGAATATGGAATATGTTTACGAAAAGGAAATGGTTGCTGACACATTTTGATTTCTCGGGGGGATTTGTATAGTCTGACAAGCTCCAATCAATCCTGAAGGCCGCCAATGTCCAAGATATTGAACCAATCTGGTCTTCTCTGTTCGCCAAGGTACATACATATCACGCGTTGCGCCTATCCGTGCCGTCTCTTTTCATCAAATCGCGATATCTGTTGCAATTGGATCTATAAATTAGGAAAATTGGGACTGTTAAAGAGCAAAGTTGAGGCTGACTTGAAGATTTTTTTGAACACTAAAGGCTCTTGAGGGGAAGGATGTAAAGGACCTCCTGCTCAACGTCGGATCAGGCGGTGGTGCCGCTGCCGCCGCTGGCGGAGCTGCCCCTGTCGCTGCTGAGGCCGGTGCTGCTGAGGAGAAGAAGGAGGAGAAGGAAGAAGGTACGGCTCATTCAATATTGTCCCCGCCACATATCGCGAATAGAGGCAGCTCTGACTAATGTATGGCTTACAATTTGCAGAGAAGGAAGAGTCCGACGAGGACATGGGCTTCGGTCTTTTCGACTAAACGAATTTTCTTCTTTTCTTTTTTTCCTTTACGTTTTGGTTCCGTCCCTCCTCATCCACCTACCTCCTATTGGCGTGTACTCATATTTGCGAGAGGAAAATTACAAAAGAGAAATGGGGTGCACAGCTACGGCGCTTTTACGGACAGACCACCCCCCCAATTGGCGAAGTTCATATATAACCATGGAATTTCATGTTGGGGACTGGACCAGAGAATCGGGTAGCAATTGGTTGAATTTTCTTTTTTTTTTTTTTTTTTTTAGTATATCAATATGATGTGCTTCCAAGGATGCTTCTAATGTCATATGGTTTATGGTCATGATTGTCGTATTCCGTCAATAAGAAAAATCAAATAAGAAATGTGAGATGTGACATGCATCTTTCGATATCGTGGTTCCCGCCGAAGTTTTTTGGTTCCTGTCCCGGTTTGCTTTTAATAAGAGACTAGGCAAAGAAAAAAGAAAGAAATGGGAGAAAAAAAAGGAGAGTGCCACCCAAGTAATTAAAAGAGATACAGTGGAAGGATTCTGAAGGAAAGTGTGTGTTTTTTTTTTTAGAAAGAAATGAGAGCGAGAGGATGGGGATGGGGAGCTTATATCACAGCCGAAGAGGATGAATCTGCACGCTGGACTGCGTATATCCGGAACTGTGCAAAGATCACGGCATCTTCAACCATCGTCCCAAGGGAGCCAATGAGCCACGGGAGATTCTTAAGAAAGTAACCCTTTTCGGTGGAATGAAACAATATCTAGGCATTTTGTTAGTAGATGGTTCCTCAGCGGTGTAGGTAAATATTCTACAGCCAATAGAATTGGGAACTTACCCCTGCGCCATATGACAAATTGCCCATAAGAGAAAATATGAAAAACAGTAAAGAAAGCCCTATGAAAAACCGGTCAGCCCGTCCACTCCACATAAATATAAACGACAGCAGACTTCCTTGACAAACATACCTTCACATGATTTCTCACGGTAGTTTTTGAGGATCTGTGGTATTCGCGCCCTGTTCGGTTCATCCCAAACTCCATTAGCTATTGAAACCGAGTTGAGAGTTAACATTCAGGGGCTATAAACTTACCCTAGATAACAAACTGCACTCAAATACCCAAATACCTGCGCCCCAACCGCCATATTCCCCGGTTGCTCCCTAGTCGTCGGTTGCCAAACACCAGACTGCCAAGCAATCGCCCATCCAGCGGCACCTGCAGCACAGATCCCAAAGACACTCAAACTGTTCTTCACCCACGCGTTTCTGGGCTCCGTTTCCTCTAGAATCTTCGTCAACGAATCCTGCACATGGTGCTGTGAGTGTCGTCTCCGTGACGCCGACGACGGTCTCCTCCGCGCTGCTGAAGAAGCAGATGCGGAAATACCTAGATTCTCACTCATCCGGCGTGAAAGGAGCGGCGTGGTGGGATCAGGGGCATCGGACTCTGCGTCAGAATCGTCGACTGCCGTCCCGCCGGACAAGGTACGGCGATGGTCATTGCCGTACTTTCGTTTACGGGTAGAGGAAGCAGCTTCCAGACGGGCGTTCTTTATGTTGTAGTAGATGCATTGGCAAATGAGGATGCCGTCTGCGAGACAGAAGTAGACGGCAATGGCGATGATGACGGGGACAAGCTGCGCCCAGAGGGAGCCGATTAAGTTTGCAATGTCGCCTATGAACCAGACGAGGATGAAAGCGACGGAAACGGCGTCGGCGGAGCCTTGTTTGTAGTTTTCAATTAGTTGAGGGACCTATGTTGGGCTGTTAGCTATTTGTATTTCTTATCTGGGTTGGTATCATTTGCTCTTTTCAACGTTCATGTATGTACGTACCAGGAGGAAGATCCAACAGGCAAGAGAAATTGAGCCTAGAACTCCTGAAGCAGCTTCCCGTGGTGTCAACGGGACGGAATCAACCTGTCCCGACATGGCTAGGATGTACATATCGCAGGTCTATATGGTGAAATGTAGTGGATGACACTGACAACGCTCGGAAAGTGAAGTTTGAGCCACATATAGGGAGCCCGAATAGGACGGGGGGTTCAATATGAACAATCGCACGGATCCATCAGGTTCGCTCGGCTATTTCGTGTTGAGGGGGGAATACCGAGAGTGAAACATCTGACCTTTGTTTAATGTCGGAGGGGTTGTAAAAAGAATCAAAAAGTTGCAAGCATCATGAAAAGGAAAAAAGCGAAAATATCCTGCACGGCTAAAATTAGTAGATGACGCAGGGATAGCCTCACGTGATGGATGTGCGCTTCTAGAAGGAACAAAGAAAGAAAATGGAAGAAAGAAAGTGAAAAAAAAGCATCAATTCTACAAGTTAGCAGCAGTTAGCTACGGTTTTATCAACCTGGCTGAATTGATGTCTCAATTCTCTAATTGGATGTAAGTTCAAGCCACTCAATTGAACTCTCTACAAGTCCATGAATGATTAGCCTCCTTGTTCAGACTAGGTTGTGGAGATGAAAATACAAGAATATCTCTCAATTATCTTTCCTATCTATCCTTGCTACACAGATTCCCTGCTTCCCCTAACTAGCTGAAACGTTGTTATTGCTTTTTCCCTCTAGCGGACTGTGGCTTGCTCTGCTGCGGGAAGAATTTCCAGAATTTGAACCTCCAAGTTAGGGCTACTCTTATCACATGACATGAAACACAAGTTACTAACCGTGCCAAGCGCACTCACTCTCTCTAGTGAGTGCGCCCCAGCGTACCGTAATATCACCGCAACCGTAAAGGTACATTTTGTATGAGTTCACCATACAAAAGGTACTTATAGAAAAACATGAATATCTTCAACATTATGTCAGATCACGTGATCTGGTTTACTAATCCTTCCATCATATGTGTAGAATAATTGAAGGTTGTATTGATAGATCTATCTACAAGAATATAATATAGTGGTGGGTCACGTGATCTAGTGGGATCGCTAACCGCCACCCCTCTCTCAAGATAACAAGAATCACATACAAAAACACTCAATCCACTAAGACAGTCTGTCAAAACTAAATACAAATGTAAAATTAAGCATTTTCAATCTATACACCTGTAAGATCTAGTAAAATCATGAATTATATAAATATCAGTGTTTAGAACTTTAGTGAGTTTATTTACTATTATCTGAGTGATAAGAATATATTTTAAATCAATAACTCTCTGATTCAACTGTCAATATAAAAAATGAAAACATGTATTAATATACTTACTTCAGACTGTAATAACTGCTATCTTTATAAGATCTATAATATTCTTATTATCTGCAGCGTACGCTGCTATATAGAGTTAGATATAAGAGTAAAAACTCATCTAATTCTTTAAAAGATGAGAGATGAGTATACACTCTTATATATACAGTAATTATTTTATAGAGATTAACTCTTGTAGAAGAAGTAATTATTAATGAAGAAAAGAATAGAGACTCTGTAGAGAAGAAGTGAAAGCTCTTATAGAAGAAGTAATTATATATAAAGAGAAGAACAGAGACTCTGTAGAGAAGAAGTAGAAGCTCTTATAGAAGAAGTAATCACATATGAAGAAAAGAGCAGAGAGAGAAGATAGAAGTGAAAGCTTTAGAAAACAGTAAGAAATGAAGTGAAAGCTAGAGTTAAATAGAGAATTAACTTGAATAGAGAGTGAAAGCATATCACAGTTCTTTTTAAACTAGTTAGTAAGATTATAAATTTCACATTTAATCTCATTTAATCTGATCTCATACATTTCTTGATATGAGTTTTACCAGAATCAAGTCTTAAAAAAAATCTGAAAATGAATCATTTCTGAGAGAAATGATGTGAAAAATGATCAGATTTAATTTAAGAACAGTGAAATAAAAGTAATTTCTCAGAATAAACTGTAAAAGATAATCATTTTTTCAAAATCAGAATAAGACTGAGACTGAAGATTAAAATCAGTTCTATTTAATTTATTCAGTAATTACTTATATAATCAGAATTTAATAATGATTATTAATAACACTTATGAAATAACTAAATATATTCTTATATAAGTTTATTCTTTATTATTATTATTATTATTATTCTGTTATTATACTTATATATAAGCAGAGCTTATGATGAGTTCTTGCATGATGTTAAATACAGATTAAGTGTTGATTATACAGAAGGAAATACAGGTGTTAAGATCACATCAAGATAACAAGAACATAGGAAAATACAAAGAAGTGACAATTAAATACATGCAATAATAACTTCTCAGCCCAGGAACATAGAGTAATTCATTGAAGTGATTTGTACACCTCTGTATTTATTAGAAATCTGAGGTGCTTGAGTTCTGGATTTAATGTATTCCCTGCAGGTTTCAAACCCACGCGCCTTGGTTTCCCACGCCAAGGCGCTACCGGGTGGCCGCATTAACCATTCAGCCACCGGGGAAAGTTTATTCTTTACTTTCTCATGAAAACTACACTTCTCTGATATACTGTGATCAGAGATATTAAACTATCTGATAATTCTATATTTTATAATTATAAGTTTCTTAATTGTTTCTTCTTATAATTGTTCTCAGTGATAGTAATAAATATCTCAACTTGAGTTGAACTTTTACTTTATTTTCATCTCTATCAATAAAATTATCAGAATATTATATATTATCAGTATAACAGTTGAATATATACTCTTAATAATTTTTCATAACTTGTAAGAATAAGAGCTCACAGGCAATTATTCAGGTGTTTGCAGCTTGGTGTGATATGTACTGTTAACTACTAGAAGTATTCACAGTAGAAAGATAAAATATAGAGGTTAAAATGTATATTAGTATTTAAGCTGAGTTATGAATAGTATTTGTAAACTCCAGTCTATATAGTTATGTGTAGTCAAGGGCTGCTAACTCTATTAATTATATAAGAAATAGAAATAGAAGTAAAGAATCTGTGAGAAGTAAGATTTCTTACATACTTCTCTCTAGACTGACCGTGTGACTGTGTCTGAAATCAGAACTAGATTTTTTGATAGTTTCATTACCAATTCAACTGATCTCATTACACAGTTTTAACATTAGATAGTAGTCTCATACTGTCTCAGTGAGACTTACTGTCTACTCTTGTCACATTTTTCAAATGAGATCATGATTTTCACTTCTCAATTTAAATTATTTTTATTGCTTTAAATGACTTTAAATCTCATTTGAGCATTATCAAAAAGTGTTACTTTTTAAAAAATTAAAAATAGACTAAAAAAAACCTTAAAATGTCTAAAAATAGTAACTTTATATCAAGAATGAGACTAAATGGAATCAAATGGGACCACTTTCTCATTTTTTTCAAGTCATGATTCCATTTTAAGATCTGATATATAGTCACTTTACATGTTTTTTTGATAGCCAGTCCCAGCGGGATTCACGCCAAGAAATGTATGGGATCAGACCAAATGGGATCAAATGTGAAATTCATGATCTCAGCGGCCAGTCTACTTCTCTCTCTCTAAGACTTTATCTATGAAGTCTTTCACTAAGTGACTTCATAGAATCAGCTCAGCACTGCAGTGATACTCACTAAAAACTCTTTATATTTATAAAAAAATCTCAGTGAGGAAAAATTCCTTGTTATTATAAAGAGAAAAGAGTCTATCACTCAGTTTCTTATTCTATAAGATTCTTTATAATTTACAGATTCTTCTCTGACTATTACATAGATTCATCTCATATCTTTCATACAGAAGAGTTCTGATTAACTCTTAATTATTTTCATAAAATTCTTGTATAATTATTACATAGATTCATCTCATAGATGAATCACTCTCTATGAGATTATTCTTATTAAAGAGAAGTATTCATGAGTTAATCTTTCACTTATTCTTATAAATCATTGTTCTTTGACACTGTAGAATTGTGAGGAATTTTCTATTCTTTTATTATTATTATTATTATTCTTCAATTATAGATGTATGCAGTCAGAGACTATGACATCTACCTAAGAACTTTTAGTTCTCAGGGTTTTTCCTATATCTATAAAGTTAACTATTATACATTCATCAATTTCGGATATGCAAAATCAGAAAATTTCAGCTCAGAATACAAAAACTGTTTATAAATTGCAGTGTTTTAACATCTTCTGATACTTTGAAATCATTTAACAATATCATGATAAAAGAAAAGAGACCACAGTCTTAAAGATAGATACATTAAATAGATAGATAGAAAAGAATAGAAAGAAAAAAGTAAAGTAGAATAAAGAGAGACTGTAATGAAATAAATTATTAAAAGATAGTATATAGCTGTTTTAACAGACTATATCTGATCAATTTCCTTCTCTTCATATTCAGATATTTCTGAATTCAGTCATTTTCTTATAGCTGCTTGAGTTTCTGATAGAAAGTCTATTAAGTATTTAATTCCTGTCTCAGTTGAGAATAAGAATCTTATATTTAATTGATTTAAATTATACTTCTCTTTCAATCTGACTCTGAGACTATTATATAATGCACAGTGCATTATAATATACTCAGAATTCTCATTTATATTGCAGAATGAGCATTCTATTGAATCAAATCTATCATTAAATCTTTGTATATAAGATTTGAAATAGTCATATTCTAGTTTCAGCTGTATTATAGATGAGAATATTTTCTTTTTATATTTAATTAAACAAGATTTTCACTTGGGTTTTATTTCAAATCTTGAATAATGTATACTCTTCTTTTATTTCTGTCAGCGTTTATTTCACTTTTCTAAATAAGATTCTTTTATTTTTCTCTTTATAAAGGATCAGAATATAATTTTTTAAATAAATCTACTTAGTTCTGAATCTTTTTTTACAGCTGAATCAGTCAATTCATTGTCATGAATATTCATATAAGTAGAAACTTAGTGTAGATGAATTATCAGCTTTGATATTCTTCTCTTTTGAATTTTTAAAACAGAGTTTAAGATCAGTTCAAGATTTATTTAATCATTATAAATCTGACTATTTCTAAGTCTTTTTAAAGCAGCTTGACTATTAGAGAATATTCATGTCTCTTTCAAACTATTTTCTCTTTTATAAGATTTTATTTTAATAAGTATAAAAGCTTTCACTATTATAAATAGTTCAGCATCAAAGACTTCAGATTCACTGTCTAAATTTCAGAAATCTGAGATAAAATTAATATTATCTTCAGTATAAGCAATGTCTGTATCTAATCTATTCAAATTCTCATTTTTTGAGTTATCTGAATAAATCAGAATAGAGTCTTTTATATTGATTGTAGAAATTCTCTTCAAATGCTGTTCATATTCTTTCTCTTTAGATAGTTCACTTATTTATAAGTCTATAAGAGATTCAAGCTTTTCTCTTCAGAGAGATAACTTCTCATGATCAACTTTTTCAACATTTAAAGAAGAAAATTTATTTTTAATTAGTCAGTATAGTCTGTACAGTTGAGAAGATATTTTCTTTG